GTTAGTAATATATATATATATATATATATATATATATATTTGGCATGTGGCACTCCTCATTTTGACTTCCAATGAACATAGACATTCGTATTAGTACAACTTGATATATATATATTAGTCGATTTGAACCTCTCTAAAAATAAGCGCGAAATACGTTGATTACATTTTTTGACTCTGTTAAGCTTTACAATATTCTTGTCACATAACGCGTATAAGGTACAGCTGAAATACTGTAAAAAAGTGTTTTATGGACATTCAGACTCGTACTCAGAATGTTTGAAACGGAGGTTCTAATTTGTGAGATCAAAAGTCAACAGATATCGTGCGAGGCAAAATCAACATGCAAAGTATGCTAATACTACGGGGGATCTGGTAGCATGCATCCACCCACCCCCTAACCCACCCCAAGAAAATTTGTAATAAATTGGTGCTATGAGATTAAATCTGGAAGCAATTTTGCATGAAATATAGCTTAACCAGTTCCACAAACATTCAATGAAAAGTCCTATTACAAAGTGTTAATAGAAACCATTGCATGCGACTGTTTCAAGCCAAATAATGCTAATGCTTCATCAGAAGAATGTGGGCTATGTAGAAAACATTAAAAACAATAAGCAGCTGCTCTATAACTATATAAGTATAATTTGTTTACATCACAAAAATAGGGGGTTCGACCGAACCCCCACTCCACCCTCCTGCGTACGTGCGTGATATTTGTGTATTTATTGCTATGCGTATATTTCACGATAATATAGATAAAAAACCACAATTAGTTTGGAATATGCGTGCAAGATCCGTTTATATTGAGTATTTTGATATTGTAAAAATTCAATACTTCACCCATCTTTACTTTGGGTCCAAATGTACGCGTTCCAGTTATGTCTAGATCCTATACAACTAAACCGATACTTTTAATATTTACAAAAGTTTGTCTTTTTACCGATATATACCTAATTACATTTTCCGTGCAATTGAAAAAGCTAAATATATACATTTTCTAGAAATAATTTGTTTTATTGTATATATATATATATTTATTTATTGAAACATTAGGCTTAATCCCTCTTTTAAACTCTACCCATGCACAGGTATGAATATGTTGTTGTTCGTTATTAAGCACAAAGCTACATAAAAGGCTATCTGTACTCTGCCCACCACGGGTATCGAAACCCGGTTTCTAGCGTTGTAAGTCCGCAGACATACCGCTATGCCACTGAGGGGCGTATGGATATGATAACAAAAGAATGGACTAAAATGAATCCTTGCCAATTTTATAAAACAAAAACAAAAGAAAAAATCGGGCGGCTTAAGTTTTTTGTATCATATATATATATTGTCACCTTGAACTTAAGCAGCAACAAGAATGCTTATGTTTAAGGTTTTTCAACAACATTTCTCAACGTCAGTTCTGCTTGAATGTGTTCCATTTTTTTACTGATAATTTAATCGTACACACAAAAAAAAATACAGAGTAATTAAATAAATGGTATTTTAGCGAATTTAGTGGGACAATCTACACTGGAAGTAGCAACTTGTTTTATAAAGAAGTAGAAAATAAGGAATTGAAATATCTGTAATCTGAAAATTGTGTGATTGTTGCAATGTCAAGTTTGTTTGTACAAGACACCGGTGAGCGTACAAGTACATCCTCATGACGTGTGTTTTACCACCTGTTGTTCTCTACCTAAAGGAAAGGATTCCGCCCACCATGATACCACACATTACGCACACTACATATATCTTTATCTAGAAAAAAAAAATGTTTAAACGATGTTCGTACCCTCTATTAAGTTATTAGCATCAGTCCAACTTAACAAGGTCGTTTCACTTCGTCTGCTTATCTACATCCGGTGAGACACATCCGTTTAGGAATATTTGTAGAATTTTATACGAAACACAGCTTCGAAAAATGGTATTCTGAGTACTTAAGTTGGTATTAACTAGTGAATTCACGAAACGCTCTTAAAGATTATTAAAATAAAAAAAAATATAGTAAGTGCTTTGAACGCGAAATCACACAAAAATAGGTAATCTAACCGATTTCTTTACCGTCATGGTTCTACGCACAGTGTCTTTATTTTTATTTCAGACGTTTCCAAATAACGTTCTTAAACTACCCTTTTAAATGTCAAAAATGACTGTTATGTTGAATAAAGAAAATGATTTCATTACTTTAACATGGTCAATACGAGCGTCAAGGTGGATACTTGAAACCAACGTTACAAGTGTAAAGTGTTGATAAAGCCTTGAATTATCCTCCTGATGCTGATGTTACAAGCTTCAAATCAGTGTTGATGAAGCACTGAATTATCCTCCTGACGCTGATGTTACAGCTGTTTGGATACAGTTTAGTGTTGATTACAATGTTTTTAGTTTTTAGAAATTGTTCTGTAAAAGATTCAACATTATACTCTATAACTTACGGTTTGACAAAACTAAGTTTCACAGAAAAACAAAAGCAAAAAGATATGACTTAAAACTTACGTTCGTTTGGAAAACTCAAACTATAAGTTCATATTCTGGCATGCAAAGTTTAGACCTTGAAAACTTCATCGTAATACTATCTTTAGCACAGTACGTAAATGACCGATACTCTTCATTTAGAAAATACAATGAATGTGACCTATCGACACATGCACGTATATATACGCACTTATTGCTTTGAATTAAAGTATATCAGTAAAAGGTTTGTACAATATTACAGTTTCTCTGACTTTATGTCGCCATATCGAAGCAATGCCCATAGTATGTATTGGGAAACAAATCTGACAGATTCGTTGCATAACAAAGTACGTAGTGGAGAATTTTTAAATTTAGGCATTCACTGAAGCCTTTAGCAGGGTGCTGGTATCAGTGATGTGTACAACACCAACAGTGTGTGTAACAGGGTACTGGTATCAGTGATGTGTACAACACCAACAGTGTGTGAATTAACGGAGATGTTTCTCTGTACGTAATCAAATCCTAGCGTTATATCTAAAGTGCTTCAAGGCTTATGCACCTCTCAATGATCGTGTACCCTGTAGCAAACATTTTGGCATTTTTTGTTAAACTCCGAAGAATACCACTCAGCAGAAAAAAACAACAACAAAAAACGTGTCATATGAATGTTATTAAAAGATCATTGAATTTGTTAAATGAACATTGAAATCTCGTGAGCTGACTTTAAAAAACGAAACTTCTTGTTCAAATCTTCTTTCTAACTAAATTCTTAACATAAATAATATGTAGTTTATTAGGCCAATGTAACCACAAATAGAAATTTAAGCAAGCCTAAATCGTTCTATTCAATAAGAAAAAAGCGAGAAAACAACACACGATGCCTAAACAGGAAACGTCTTTACAGATTAAGAAAATGAAGTTTCAAAACAAAGTTTGTTTGATCAGACAGGTTCATCCACCAGAGACGACGTGTTGTGACAAAGGGTATCAAGTGTCAGTATTCGTTAACATGTTTTGTCTGTTCATTCTGGGTGTACGAAAACGTTTTCCATTCACTTTGGAAGTTTGTGAGTTGCAGAAAAGAAAGCTATTTAATAGCGATGTATGTATATATATCGGGTGATACTGAAATGAGGTCAGATCTACAATTACTGGAATGTGGCCATAGCAGAAGTAGGCCATAAGAACTATTCTTGAGACTGGTTTGAAACTACCAGCTATTCTCTTAAATATGTTCTAAAGGAGTTAAACGTTATTACTTTGTAGCAACACACGTGTCAGTAAACATGTCCCTGGAAGTAGCCTAACTGCAGTGACGAAGTGTGCCATAATTAGAAATAAAATGGAACAATATGCCCCACACATACATATTTTTATAGTATATCTAGAATAGAAGTAAATGTAATGTTTGTTATAATTTGTATTTCTCGTGCTCTCTGCGATAAGATGTGTTTCTTTTTTTTTTTTTAAGTTCTAGTGATCATTGTCAGAGAACAATATTATTTGAACTTAACTTGTATAGGAGGTTAAGTTTAACTGTGGTTGAATTACGTGGGGTAAACGTAAAGGAATTAATACATTTTATACATATTATTTTTTAACTCCACCCACAAATTAAACTTTAAGACTTAAGAAATGAACTATTTTTGTACCTACATTTTATATTGTAAAATCGCAAGATATTGAAACTGTTATTGAGCAAACACCAATATATAAACATATATATATATATAATGATAAAAACCCTATAATCCGAGCGCTTTCGAAAGGTGGACCTTTCTTCTTTAGAGGCAAACTGGGAATTCTCCTTAAGAAGAAAGATCTACCCTTCGAAAACGCTCGGGTTGTATGGTTGTTTTTACTATTTTGTATCAAGACTTCTTGAACATTCATGATTTCCTGACATCATGTATATATAATAAATGTGGCGAACTTTTTGATTAATATATGCTATTTTCTATTGCATAGATGTTTTGTAGTTCATAGTTCTATCTCGTATCTAACAAAAACACTTGCCTTCTATCTCTAAATGTTACTTAATAATATTCTTGTTATTAAGGCAAATATTCATTAAAATTTTAACAGTTTGTCTGTCCATTTATCCATCTTTCTATTTGTCAAACATATTCTGCCTGCTTTGCTCAAATTTCCCACTTTTTCTAACTTAGAGCATCGAAGGGATCACAATGAATACGGAACCAGATTGGCAGACTATACTAGACAACCAGTCCATCATACTTCACGACCGAATGATGACCGACGCTGTCCAGTCGCCCAGGATCCAATCAGAACACAGCTATTCCCTGTCAGTTTCTGACGATCTTCAGGGTTCTGCCCTCAGCATCAGCCCTAGTATGAAACTGGAGGAATACGATAAAGGTAGAACCAACAAATTAACCAATCAGTGAATGTTTTATTTTGACATTCACGGTTAGAGAAAGTTAGAAAAGGATTTGGAAAGTAGGTAACAACAGGCTTTAAAGCTTTACATCCCAACTAACTCAGACAGCTATGTCTATCGTTCTTATAATTTTTCCTATACGCTATA